CTTGTCTCTCTTCATCCTGGTCGTCTTCTTTCTCCATGTCGTGAGCTTTCTCTTCATGTTTCGCGTCTCTTTCTCGCTCTCTGCCTCCCTTTTCTTCTCTTCTTGCTCCTCTCTCTCTCTCCCTTTTTCTCTTTTCTGCTTCTGATCGCTTTCTCTGGCTCCTGCCTCTCGCTTTGTCTCTCTTCTTTTTCTCTCTCTCTCTCTCCCTCTCTCTCTCCCCTACCCGCTCCAGCTTACGAGAATCAAAACATGCAAAGAAATCGTTTTTCGAAGCTGACCCCCCGAAAGCCCACCGAGGGCTCGACTCACCGAAAGTCGGCAAATGTTCACCTTTTCACGCTTGCGCACGCTGAAAATGAGTCTTTCAAGGTCGACCCATCCCACGCACACGCAGGGTCAAGCGAGGGAAATGAAAACCGCAAAGAGCCACTATGTTTAGAAGGTCGACCCACCCAGAGCACACGGGTTCGCTTTTCGAGAGACCTAGCTCAATTTTTGCCAGTACTATGGAAGTTGATTCCTTTGAATAGAGGAGTTCAGGCAGGTCATTTGTCAAAATGACATGCCAAATGGCTTGCTTGGTATTGCACCTAGCACGTGTTGCCCGGCCATCAAGCGGCTCTGCGGCAGGATGCTGAGTTGAGTTTGCAAGACTGACATGTGTTCTGACGACAACGAAACATTTGTTGTGTTTTGCATGGATGTGCTTGGACGCGTGTGTTCGGCACACACACACACACTTAAACTCCAAAAGGAGAGTGCTAATCTTTCGAGTACAACTGATGAGTCTCGAGTACAACTGATGAGTCTCGAGTATGGTGAGATTCGACTCGCACAACACGTGGCTTCCCTGTAGTTACTTTAAAAGGGGGGACACACAGAAGCAACGGCGGTTCAGGGAGGGGACCAAAAGGACATTCACAAACATCACAACGGCAGGTACGTCCAACGGCGTCCCGTTGGATTTCACCAGCAAAGAAGGGCGTCTTCATTGGCGCAGGTCCCTTCAATGCTGCCCGCGCCCCCTGCTGAGAAGCCGAAAAGGTGGTGACAGGGCATTCTGTCACTCCGCGCACACACGCCCCTCAATGAGGGGCGAGGAGTCTCCTTTTCTGCAGGAAGATCACATGCTCAACCCCGTGTCCCTATCGTTGACCAAAAAATCCACCGCGGCGAGGGGAGCGAGAAACAGCCCTAAACCGTTCAGAAGACGGGAACGAGAGGTCACCACGTTGAGCATTACGAGTGTCGCCATAGAGGACTGAAGCGAGTTGTGAAGCAGTCGAGCGATCACCATTAGAAAACGGAGTAGCATAGGTGAACGTCTCCTCAACTGGAATGGCATCGGAATTCCGAACTTCATCAAGAGATTGATCATGCGAATGATGAGTAGTGAAGGACTCCATTCGAGACAGAATGCGTTGGTATCCCTGATGCTGCCAGTCGCGGATGGTCCATGCCTGACCGTGCTCACCAGTGCGCCCATTGGGATCAGTCACCCGCTGCCATTCCCGAAAAGAATTGTCTGGTAGATCAGGTACAGTTTCTCCGTGGTGCCAACGTTGAGGCTGTCCTGCAGTGTAGATCCGCACCCACTCCAGACTGAGTATTCGAGCCATGGGTGCTGCTTCGAATCCTCGATGTCCAAACACAGACCTGGAAGTAATGTGGATGGACCAAATCTTGCACTAGTTACTTTCATGAACCCCATAGAATAAGCCACTTAACGAGTAGTGCCTGTCGCGGAGGTTGTCCATCTTAGGGACCCTCCCGCTATTCCCTTGCCACCAGAACCTTCCGCGCCTAGGGCGCAGGCTGCAAGGGCCACCACCTTCCGCAAATTTGACTCGCCACTGAAATGCGGTTGATGCCCAAGCCAGAAAGGGGATCCGATTCTGTCACACTGCAAATCTCTGGCTAAGCGTAGGCAACCTAGGCTGACCACTGCAACGGAATGCAGGAAATGGACATTCAAACAACAACGCTGCCAGCAATACCACAGGAATTGGATGCAAAATCCCACCTACAACATATTGCAGGTGTCGGCCTAGGGCTGTAGCCAAATGCACCAGCTGCCATGTTCAGGAAACTGGTAACACAAATCCGAGCTGGCGCTCGGTCCGGGCGTGGACATCCTCTGGGCTCCCGACTGTCTGCCTAGACGCATCAGTCTCCAGTTCGCCTGAGTCAAGGTACTGTGAGAAGCAACATGGAGTTTCAATCACACGCGCTGGTGCCACTTGTCTCCAATGGAGGAAACCAACTTGAAACCTTGAACATCGCCACATGTGTCGGAAAACACATGTGGCAATTGCTGCTTCACACAAGCATAGGGTCTGCAAGTCTTAAGTTGGTCTTCCGATGAGGAACTGATTGCTGGATTTGCTTTGCCGCACGTGGCATGGTCACACGGTGTCAACGCCTCCAAGTGGTCTCCGGGCTGGGAAGCCCTTCGCCGGGTGCAATGGAGGCTCACAGAATTGGTGACGGGAAATACAGACCGTTGCTCACATAGTCAACCTGGCATGCTGTAGGGTTTGCTCCGCTTGCCGGGGTCAACCTGTCCCTAGTGGGCCAAATACCTTCTGGGGATGAACTTGCACCTCTGTTCGACCCTGAAGTACGTCCTATCGCCGTGTCTCCAAAGTTAGGCTCTTTGGGGGGCAGTCTTTGAAAACACCCTCACGGAGGGAACAAATAGGGGTGTTTGTTGGCTACGGAAACCCTCATCCAGAAACAAGCAAAAAACACCACTGGATGGGAACATCAAGCAAATGTTGGGAGTGGTCCAACTCCAAGTGCTCCAAATCCCATGTCCACCGGGTGTTCCAAAAGCAGTTGTTGGGTGCCGGGAGTCCAACCGTTTGACGCCTAGGGCGCCGGCGCCAGCTCTGCTGGCTCCCCACCGCCTCGCGTTGGGGCCATGGCAACAACTGTCACCTTACTACTTCACTACACAGGAGGAGATGGTGCACATAATCCTAATATACTGGTGAGATGGTTTTATACCCTTGGGGGTACCCTACTTGGATCCCACTCATGATAAGGGGAGCTCCACATAGCTGGGCCTATAAGACTATAAGCACGTTGATGATGACCCAGGCGACCAGCTCCTTACTAAGTTGGCCGAACACCCAAGCTTTATCCTGGGTGGAATGGAGGTCAGAAACAAAAATCAAGCTGAACAAATTCCCCCCGCCCCCAAAGTGGCTCATGCTTGGCTTATTTGGCTATGGCTCAACAAATTGTACCCAAAATTGCACCTTGGTATATGGAAACAAAGACTAAAACCTGCGTAACTCCAGCTGGTTAGTTTTGAGCCACACCCATTTAGCACCCAGGTTCCATGGCAGGCTCCGTGGGATGAACCTACAATGTTCAACTTGTTCAGTGTGCTCTCGTCGGGTGTTTGCTTAAAAGAAAACCAGAGGGCTTTTAAGGGGTACACAACTCCTTGACATACAACGAGGAGTTGATTTAAGTTTGAAGCAATCCCACGCGAATTGCACCGAGTGAAACATGCATGATCATACAACGGAAACCATGGCACCACGAAACCCACAAGAACAGGACCTGAACTGAACTAAACTGCTCAACTGGACACTTGTCGGCAGGGGCTCGTTGATGTGATGCAGTAAGCTGCTGCACCGAACATTTCCCCACATCTGTACTCTCGCCAGACTCTGGACCAGGCCAAATGTGCTCACAGGGTGGGATGATGTTTACAGGCTACTTTAAACTGTCTATAGGGCGGTGTACGCGAAGGGATCCGACCAAACAATCTCCCAGAATATCGGTCCAAGGGAAATCAGGCACGGACAGGGGGAGAGGCCCGCGCTTTTTTCATTTGGAGAAGAAGCTTGTTGGAAGGCAGGGATTGGTTGGAATGGGACACCGAGGATCATGTGGGATAACTAACTCTCAAGGCGGACTGTTTCCCCATATTGCTTGCAACACAGCGAAACGCTCAGCAAGCAGCAAGCCCAGTGAACAAAAAAGAAGGTAATTCATTTGGAACTGGTCCAAAACTGGGAACCTCATGTCTTGCTGGCTTCAACCCCGCCACAAAAGAACATTATCCTGCTTCTGTGAGCGATTTGGGCACCCCACAGAGGCGGATTCGCACAACGCTGGCACACGAACATGTTCTTCGAAACCGCGCATCTGCAATCGAAGCCTGACAGGCCTTGCACTGACTCACTCAATGCAAGAAGGATGAAGGTTTAGATGATTGATGTTGACACGGACAGCCGCAATCGCCTGGCTGAGCCGTTTTCAACTCATATCTGTGGTTTCCCTACCAATCTGCTCGGCCGCGCTCAGCTGAGCGACCCAAGTCAAAGGCTTCGAAGCGCCCCACAAGCAGGCTGGGATCATCCATAGTGCAAGCATGGTGAACCAGAAAATTGTGACAAGTCCAGAACCCCTTCAGATGTCAAGGGTCACTTTCACTAGCAACTCACTTTCATGTCCACTCTTCCAAGTGAACTCGCTGTCAGTGACCAATCCTTCCACGCTTGGCTTGCCCCACCCTGCCAAAAGCCGGCACAGCAGCCACCCCCTGCTGTTGGCGTACCCCACGCGGGCACCAGCTGGCGCCCACAGGCAACATGCAGATCTGCATCTTTTGCTGAGCCCTCGGTCCCAGTCCAAAACGGGCCATGGGTTTGTCTCAAAATAGGGCAATCTCGAACATGGGGTGGTTCCCTTTTGGTTTGTCCTTAGAACAAGTTCAAAACAGCTATACTCAACGAAACACATGCTGTACCCAATTCTGCGGACATCAGTAATGAGCCGTACCGGCTTTCCAGCTGGCAAAAGACTTGCCATGCTTCTTTCTGCTCACATTTCAGTTGGTCTGTCACATTTCAGTGGTCTCCGTGACGGCTCCTAGTGCTGCCAAAGGGACAATGAAGCAAAGCAAAACAAGACGGACAGGCAGGGACCTCAGTCACAGCTTGAGACTTGGACACTCATCGTTGGAGCCCAGCCTAACTCCCTCATGCGCCCTTCTCACTTGTCACCAGCTTCTGTCCTGACATCGGCCAGAAATTTGGCGGCAGACAGGCTGGCCGACGGATCCAGACAAGCCGCACAAGGTCAAGGGAAAACCACAGCCGGACCGTGGGGGAACCAAGACATATCTGGGTGTGTCTTTGTAGGGTGCCCTTGCCGGGTGCTAAAGAAACCAAAGGAGCATCCACCTTCTTTGGGGTCCCCTATCTTACGACACACCCATACCCATGAGAGGGTGTCCAAAGGGCCCTTTCGTGCGACCGTGGTGACAGGATTGAAGCCTCCTGAACCAAGAAGCCATACGGCCAGGTCTTAACAAGGGGATGTCCCTTTTAAAACAAGGGTTGGCTGGTTCGAAAGGCAAACCCTGGAGGGGTCCCTCGTTAACACCCGCATTCCTGGTCAGCGAATTCGGTTGCCTTGATTCCGAAGAAAATGGGCGAAGCCAGAGGTGCCCCCCGATGAATTAATCCCTCGTTTGCTGGTAAAGTATGTATGCATATATGTAAAAGTATAGGTATACATGTTCCTTCCTGAAGCCAAGCAAAAAGGTGCCAACCCAAAGAACAACTGGGAATTTGATAACCCCAGGAACCCCTCATTCATGTGGAACCAAGTAGTGTTACCAGAGAGCACAAAGCTCTTTCCGGCCGCTGTTCCCAAAGACCAGCATGATGGCATGCACTGGGCAAGTCTCGTCAAATCACCGCCGACACAGATTTCTCTACTCGGAAACTAAGCGAATCCTCATGAAGCCCCCTGACCTGTGTCCCAAAAAGTTCATGGCATGATTATTGACTTTGACCCTACCTGGGCTTCCCCCATCCTACAAATAAATGCTGTGTGTGTACAAACGGGTGTGTGAGACAGTGTGCGTGTGCGTGCGCGTGCGCGCGTGCGCTCGTGTGCGCGTGTGCGGGTGTGCGGGTGTGCGGGTGTGCATGTGGGCGTGTGGGCGTGTGGGCGTGTGGGCGTGTGCACATGGGCGTGCGAGCGTGCGGTCGTGCGGGCGTGCGGACGTGCCGGCGTGCGGGCGTGCTGGCGTGCTGGCGTGCGGGCGTGCGGGCGTGCCGGCGTGCGGGCGTGCTGGCGTGCTGGCGTGCGGGCGTGCGGGCGTGCAGACGTGGGGGCATGGGGGCATGGGGGCGTGTGGGCGTGTGGGCGCGTGTGCGCGTGTGCGCGTGTGCGCGTGTGCGCGTGTGCGCGTGTGCGCGTGTGCGCGTGTGCGCGTGTGCGCGTGTGCGCGTGTGCGCGTGTGCGCGTGTGCGCGTGTGCGCGTGTGCGCGTGTGCGCGTGTGTGTGTGGGTGTGTGGGTGTGTGGGTGTGTGGGTGGGTGTGTGTGTGTGTGTGTGTGTGTGTGTGTGTGTGTGTGTGTGTGTGTGTGTGTGTGTGTGTGTGTGTGTGTGTGTGTGGTGTGGTGTGTGTGTGTGTGTGCGTGCGTGTGTGTGGTGCGTGGGTGTGGGTGCGAGTGTGTGTGTGTGTGTGCGTGGCGCGTCTGTGTGTGTGTGGGTGTGTGGGTGTGTGGGTGTGTGGGTGTGTGGGTGTGTGGGTGTGTGTGTGTGTGTGTGTGTGGGTGCGTGCGTGCGTGCGTGCGTGCGTGCGTGCGTGCGTGGGTGGGTGGGTGGGTGTGTGCGTGCGTGCGTGCGTGCGTGCGTGCGTGCGTGCGTGCGGGTGGGCGTGTGCGTGTGCGTGTGCGTGCGCGTGCGCGTGTGCGTGTGCGTGTGCGTGTGCGTGTGCGAGTGCGTGTGCGTGTGCGTGTGCGTGTGCGTGGGCGTGCGCGTGCGCGTGCGCGTGCGCGTGCGCGTGCGCGTGCGCGTGCGCGTGCGTGCGTGCGTGCGTGCGAGCGTGCGAGCGTGCGTGCGTGCGTGCGTGAGTGAGTGAGCGCCTGAGCGAGTAAGTGAGTGAGTGAGGGAGGGAGCAAGCGGGCGAGCGGTTGACGGACCGACGAATGGATGGATGGCTGGGCGGATGCATGAACTAATCGATTGGTTGTTTGGTTGGCTGAGTGAGTGAGTGAGTGAGTGAGCGAGAAAGTGAGTGAGTGAGCGACCGAGCGAGCGAAGTGAAGTGAAGTGAAGTGGAGTCGAGTCGAGTGGAGTGGAGTGGAGTGGAGTGGAGTGGAGTGGAGCGGAGTGGAGTGGAGTGGAGTGGAGTGGGGCGTGGGGGCATGGGGGCGTGCGGGCGTGTGGGCGTGTGTGCGTGTGTGTGTGTGTGTGTGTGCGTGTGCGCGAGTGTGCGCGTGCGCGCGCGCGCGTGCGCGTGCGGCGCGTGTGTGCGCGTGTGACCGCCTGTGCGTGCGTGCGCGCGAGCGGGCGGGCGTCCGGGCGTGCAGGTGTAAGGGCGTGCGGGCGTGCGGGCGGGCGTGCGAGCGTGCGTGCGCGTGCGCGCGGGTGCGTGCGGGTGCGTGCGGGTGCGTGCGGGTGTGTGCCGGTGTGTGCGGGTGTGTGCGTGTGGGTGCGTGGGGGTGCTTGTGGGTGTGTGTGCGTGTGTCTGTGGGTGTGTGTGTGTGACGGGGTGTGGGTGTGTGGGTGTGTGGGTGTGTGGGTGTGTGGGTGTGTGGGTGTGTGGGTGTGTGGGTGTATGGGTGTATGGGTGTGTGGGTGTGTGGGTGTGTGTGGGTGTGTCTGTGTGCCTGTGTGTGTCTGTGTGTCTGTGCGTCTGTGTGTCTGTGTGTCTGTGCGTCTGTGCGTCTGTGCGTCTGTGCGTCTGTGCGTCTGTGCGTCTGTGCGTCTGTGCGTCTGTGCGTCTGTGCGTCTGTGCGTCTCTGTGTCTCTGCGTCTCTGTCTCTGTGTCTCTGTGTCTCTGTGTCTCTGTGTCTCTGTGTCTCTGTGTCTCTGTGTCTCTGTGTCTCTGTGTCTGTGTGTCTCTGTGTCTCTGTGTCTCTGTGTGTCTCTGTGTCTCTGTGTCTCTGTGTCTCTGTGTCTCTGTGTCTCTGTGTCTCTGTGTCTCTGTGTCTCTGTGTCTCTGTCTCTGTGTCTCTCTGTGTCTCTCGGTGTCTCTCTGTGTCTCTCTGTGTCTCTCTGTGTCTCTCTGTGTCTCTGTCTGTGTCTGTGTGTCTGTGTCTGTGTCTGTGTCTGTGTGTCTATGTGTCTGTGTGTCTGTGTGTCTGTGTCTGTGTCTGTGTGTCTGTCTCTGTGTCTGCGTGTCTGTGTGTCTCTCTCTGTGTCTCTCTGCGTGTCTCTCTGTGTGTCTCTCTGTGTGTCTCTCTGTGTGTCTCTCTGTATGTCTCTCTGTGTGTGTCTCTCTGTGTGTCTCGCTCTGTGCGTGGGTCTCTCTCTGCGGGTCTC